TATATATATATATATATATATATATATATATATATATATATATATAATATGGATGATATGATCTGACAATGATGAATCTTGACCTTGAAATTCTCCTCTAATCTTTTTGAAAGTCATTCTGGACCCATTAGTTACCATGCATATTATCAGTCTCTTCAATTTGTTGTTAATTGTCCTCTTGTGGACATGTCCAGGAAGGTTGTCTCCAGACCTGGACCTTAAACTTCTGACTAATCTGTGCAGCTGTAGTCATGGGAACATCAAGCTGCTTGGAGATGGTCTTAAAGCCTTTACCGTCAACATTATGTCCATCATTTTCTCTATAAGCTCCTGAGATGCTGGTGAAGATTCTCAGTCATCCAGGACATGATGAATTCAAAAAGCGTTCAATACAAAGTCCAGTTGTTTTTGTATTGAACGCTTTTTGAAAGCTCCTGAGATAACTCTCGTCATAGCTGTTCATGTTCGGTGTGTTACACACCATGATACCAAACAGCACTGTGACTACTTTTCACCCTTTAAATTTAAATGATTGCCTATGATTCTAATTACAAGACACGCTTTATTTTATTTTATTTTATTTATATTTTGTAGGTGTGCCATCCTTTTTGTTAAAAGCAGTTTCCTTAGGTTATTTATTTTTTAATAATTCTGTTTTCCTGAAATTCAAAAGTGATGACTAATTTTCATGAGCTGATTTTTTTTTTTTTTTTTTTTTAATTAAAACTTGTCAGTTTCAAAGTAACAATAACCTTTATTAATTTTTTTTATTTTTTTATGAAAGGGTACAGCGTCGGTATAAATCCACTTTTTTGTGACACAATAAAGATATCTGTGTGCATGTTTCATATTCCAGATGTTTATGTTTCATATCTTTCTTGGGCCCTGCTTAGAAAAAAAGCAGCAGCCTTCATCTGGTTTCCTTCCTGGTTCTGTGGGACCCATGAGGGAACCACTTTCCGGAGCTACATACCACAGATCCTGAAGTGTCTGTCAGACTGCAGCAGACTGTTTGTCAGCCTGTTGGGAAAATGAATATGCACGTTCTGCTGCTGCTGCTGGTTTTACTGTTCACTGGACCTGGGCTCAGTCTGAAACGAACTGGCTCTTGTTTACCTGTGTGTTCTGGAGAAGACTGCATCACGGTGAACTGGGACAGGGTGGATTTTCAGTCGGCAGAGAAAGCGTGTCGCGACAAGAACGGGGAACTTCTGACACTTCAGTCCAAGACTCATCAGCAAATATTTGCTGTTTTGAGCAAAAAGCTGACAGGAAGCTACTGGATCGGACTCCGTTTACCAGTTGGGACCTGCAGCGACCTCTCAGCTCCGCTCAGAGGCTACGAGTGGACTTCTGGAAATGAGACTTCTGCTCCATCACCCATCAACTGGACAGACAACCTTAAACTCTGCTCTCCACGCTGCGTTTCACTTTCAGACCATCAAGAATGGACAGAGAGTCCATGTTCAGACAGAGCTGATGGGTTCCTGTGCAGAACCAAACAACAACATGCATGCCAGGAAGAAGAGTGGACATTTAAAAGCTCTACAGGCTGTAAAAGTGGCCCCTGTGAGCATGTGTGCTCCAGTGTAAAGGAAGGATATAAATGCTCCTGTTTCACAGGATACAAACCTGACCGAAAGGACCCGAGGACGTGCAGATTGTTCTGTGGACAGGAGACATGTCCCGCAGTTTGTGAGGGACCAGATCAGTGCTCCTGTCCAGACGGATTCATCCTCAGTGGACAAACTTGCGTTGACATAGACGAGTGTGAGATGGGTCAGTGTGAGGACGGCTGTTTGAACAGTTTTGGGAGTTTTACGTGTTTCTGTGGTGAAGGGTTCATCCTCAGCGATCAAACAAACTGCGTCCCAGCTGCAGCGGCTGAAGGTTTTATCGTCACGACTCCTGCAGCTGAGTTCGTCAAACCAGCCACTAAAAACAAGTCCCAGAGGAGCTCAACATCTCCTGCCGTGGTTTTTCTCTGGGTCTGGGTCCTGCTCGCGATGGCTCTGGTTCTCTCTGTGTTTCTGATCCGGTTTCAGGTTGTTAAACGTCAGAAACGCAGAGAGCAAATGCAACAATCCGCTGCTCCTGTAGGTAACGCCGAGTTTTAGCTGAAACAAAATGTATGGGATCTACATGGTTTGATGGCCTCTGAGCTCTGGAACGATAAATTTTAACGTTGTTTGTTTAGATTTAATGTTTTCTTTTATTTTTTTATCTGACCTGCACAATTAAAACATTTAAAAGAGGAAAAAAACAAAAAAATAAAAAATAAATAAATAATCCAAACATTAACAAGGATAAGGTACTTTTTTGGATAGGAGCTGAATATAGAAAGAGCGCCCTCAAGTGTCAGATTTCAACCTTTTCTGCAGAAAACTAGAAAATTTCACACACAAAAAATAAAATAATATAAAATAAATAAACTCCAAACAACCTGATTTCCTAATAAGTAAATAAATAACGTAAAAATTCTTAATATTTCATGAAATGATTAGAGATGAAATCATCTGTGCTCGAGTCGAGCTGTATTAAATAGAAAATGAAGAGAAGTAAAAATATTCTTAAAAAGCTGAACGAGTCAGTGAACGCAACACGATCCATAAACTGAAAGTTTTTTAAAGTTCATTTAAAAATACTGAATTCTTAAAATAATTTGAAACTTTAAGCTCAATAACATAAAAATTAAAAAGTTATTTTTGTTAAAGGGCTTCATCTCACCTGTTGCCTATCACACCAGAGTTTTAAAAAAGCATTTTAATCTTTAATAAAAATCTGTTAGTGTTGTGGAGGACTCTCAGCCACTACCACAACAGATTTCAGCTCAGTGTCTGTAAAACCAACCAAGTTTAGGACAATTTGATGTTTTCTAAGGTCGACTGGCTGCAGTGGCCATCTTGACACAGTTTGACTCCAAAAGTTAATCAGGTGTATTCGTACATGCATTGATTACTTTTCATCTAAGCCTTTCATGAAATACTTTGCTAACAAAAAGAGTTGGTTTTATAAATAATGCTAAAGTTGCAACAAACGATCTTGTGCAATCAGGAGCACTTGGCATATGTGTTGTGAATGACTCTGCTACTACCACACCCAATTTTAGATCAATATCTCTAAAATTAACTGAATTGTAATGTTGAGTTTCCAAAGATCAGTTAGCTGTGGCGTCCATTTTGAATTGGATTGACTCAAAATGTTCATCATTTGTTGATGATATATATTATTTCCTAAAGATTTTATTTAAATCTGTCCAATAGGTCATGAGATATTTTCCTAACAGGCAAAGGCAGTCGCATAACTGTCTACCTTTAATGGTGGCCATAGATAAAAATTAGTAATATATTTGATATAATTTCAAATAAAACAGATATGTTTATTTTTGCACTTTGTTTTGATTGAACACAAAACTGCATTAATTATTTTTGTACTTTTATGTTTTTTTTATTTTTTGCTTGATTGCACAGTTTTTACAGTTTTGTGTGGGGGAAAAATAAAACAATTACAAAGAGCCAATCTTGTGTATTCTGCTTATGCAGACGTGATTTTATAGATGTTTGTGTTTAGTTTCTACTGTGGTCAACTCTTGTGTCTAAAAATGTTAGAATATTTTCATATTTTACGATGGAAAACCCCTCCACCGCATGACTGGTTTTTTTTTTATTATTTACTTTTTGTACTACAAATTTTTTATTGCCATCATTTGTTACAACGAGGATGTGTCAAATAAACAAAACTAAATATTAAGCAAAAAAATAAAAAGTGATTTCATTATTTTATTATACTTAAGACTGTAAACAGATTAATAATTCTCTGGATTCCTAATTAATATCTGTCAGAGTTAACGCTTTTAAAGCTTTAAAGCTTAAAAAAAATTAAAGCTTTAAATTATTTTGACATTATGTTGGATTATTCTGATATTTGGTAAATAAACTGGATTTATTGTTTAAACCCTCTCTTTGTTTTATAGATTTTTTTTTTTATGACTTCATTTCTGACATACTAGGAGTTGCAGATTAATGTCTGACCTTTTGTTATGTGCTTTAAAAATATTCAACCTGTGTAACTAAAGGAAGCATGCAGTGAAGCAGTGTTTTTAGTCCTCATGGGACAAACCTGACCTGAAAAACACTGTCTGAGTCTGACACAACCTCTGTGAGCCAATCCCAGCTGGAGGAGTTCACTGTTAGGTAAACAGGAGCAGAAACCTTCCATTTGTGCACCTTTTACTGCAGCAAAAGCTCTCATGCGGTAGATTACAAAATAAATCAAACTGTAGGGATTTCGTAATGAATAATACATGTTATCGTTGTGGCATGTTTATGTGATTTATTAAACAGCATGTTGAAGTTTAGGAAATAACTTTTACATGGTTAACGAAGCCCTGAGTATAGACTGACAGGTATCAAAGTTTTAAGATTTATATATAATATTCCTGTATAGCGGCGTCTTATTTATCTCAGACTACTACATAATGAAACAAAAATTAGCTTAAGTATCCAATTAATACAATTTCGGATTGGCGCTAACTGCAACTTTGTGATTCTGTAAGTCTACGCTACGGGTACAAATTACTAAAATGCAACGCTGATGTAACACCAAAATGGGCGGAGTATATTAGTTTCAGCCAATCAGAGAGTAGGCGGTATTCCGCAGCGGGACGTGATTGGCTAAAAGTTTGTGACTGCCGTGTTTGTATTAATAACAACAACCGAAACCAAGTTAGCATGTGGAGGCAGTGCTTGCACGGGAACAAATCCGTCTTTTCACACACGAGTAAAGCAGCGTTTTGGCCGAGCGCCTTTTTCTTTCACTGTGTAAGCTAACAGGAGTCCCTTTGACCCGGTACCAGCGGCGGCAGCATGTCGGTGGACAGCGTGTTCCGAACCCGGTCTCTCGGCGTAGCAGCGGTGGGGCTTCCGGACCAGTACGCCGACGGGAAAGCGGCCAAAGTGTGGGAGCTGTACATCGGAGACACCCAGAGCCGGACCCAGGAGTACAAAAGCTGGCTGGTGGCTCTGCTGAGACAACACGGGATCCAGAAGGTTCTGGATGTAGCCTGCGGAACCGGGTAAGAATGTCCGGCACGAAAGAATGGTTGAATTTTAGGTAGCATTTAAATGTTGTCTCCTCCCTGGTTCATGCGTAAAACCTGTGAATTTAATCCTACAGGTTGGGTGTGACATTCAGGTTCAGGCAGAATCTGCTCTTTAATAAAAGTTTTAAAGACTCAGCACAATCTGTTTTTATACCTTTCTTATACCTGTAGATAACTTTAGTAATTGTCATTTATAATGTAAGTGAATGTTTGTATTCAGTGCCCTGAGATGACCTGTTGTGATTGAATTGTTTTTCTGAAGGCAAACAAGCACATCTGCTGTAATGTTTATATTAAGTCATTTACAGACAATTTAATGTTGCTAAAGCTTTTTTAATGCTTATTGTTTGTTTTTTAGTGAACCTTAAATTGCTGAGCTTTTAAACTAGAACAAAATCTGGATTAGGACGAAGAATAAAAGTGTAGAGCTGGCAGAGAGGGACCCTGAACGCAGCTCGGGCCTGAAAAACCAGAACCCAATTCAGGTCTGAGGCTGCAAGACCTGACCTGATGCTGGTTCAGGTCTGAGGCTGCAAGACCTGATCCCGGTTCAGGTCTGAGGCTGCGAGACCTGAACCCATGATCTCGGGTCTGAGGCTGCAAGACCTGATGCCGGTTCAGGTCTGAGGCTGCAAGACCTGAACCTAGCTCAGACCTAAACCCAACTCGAGTATGAAAAACCTGAACCCTGCTCAGGTCTGAAACTGAACCCGTCATCATGATGTCATGTTACAGGTTAGACCAGGGCTATTCAACTGGTGCCCCATGGGCCAATTCCAGCCCGCGGGTGACTTTCCACCAATGAGTTCATGAAATAAATATTTTTTTTGTTTGTTTGTTTTTGGGGGGGGGGGTCTGGGTTTGTGTTCTGTTTATTGCATTTATGATTCAAAGCAATAATACAAACAAGTTTAAAAGGAAACTGATCATTGTAAAACTCTGTTAATTTACATAATGACTATTTGATGGATGTCCGGCCCCTGAGCAGTTTTGTTGAATAGTCCTGGGTTAGACTTATTTTGTTTCAGTCCTGTTCGGATGAACCGGACCAGGTCCTGTGAGTTCTGTGGAGTTGATGAGCAGGTGTTGGGTAGTTGCTGGGAGCTTGAACTGGTTTCCTGCTGCTTGTTTATCTTTTCTGATAGTTTATCAGAGCTGCGGAACAACACCAAGGCCACAAGCTGAAAACCAGACAGACTGTCCCGCTTGGTGAACTCGTGCTTCTTATAACAACTCACAATTATATTGTTTTATATTAACTTACAGAACTGCTCTCGTGTCAGATAAACATTATAAATCTGCTTTTCTCCTAAGTTTAAGCAGTAAGTATCTTTGACCTTCTTCTGTAGTAGTTTTCTTATCCAGCAGCTCAATGGAGCGACGTAAACACTCGATGTGGAGAAAAGTTACGAGTGCATCACTTTAAAGCTTTCCAGCTGTTTGTGACTGTAGTGAGTTTGTGATTTAAAGCTTGAAGCTAAAACAGGCATTAAATCCATCCTAAACTGGACTCAGAGGACTTCTGGTTCCCCGAGCTCGAGGTGACAACATAACGGCCTCCATGCTGGTAGATTAAACACATTAGCCTGTTTTTAGTTTTCTTTTATCCTGCAGCTGGGGTTAATGATTGTTGAGAACTTGTGCTCTCCAATAATCAAATTATCATAAAATCTTTGAAAAAAGACTTCCTGAGACGTCTTGTTTTCTTTACTAAAATAAGAACCACGGTTCTCAGCTGTCCAGGTTCGAGTTACCGTGCCAGTCAAATCAGACGTCATATCTGCATCAGTCAAATTTAATTGATTAGGTTACCTTTTAAATAAGCTTTTTTTAAATTCAAACCGTGTTACTAACTCTTTATTCATGTATTCAGAGGTTCTGTGTGCGTTTGTCTCTGCAGAGTTGACTCCATCATGTTGGTCGAGGAAGGCTTCAATATGGTCAGTGTGGACGCCAGCGATAAAATGCTCAAATACGCTCTGAAGGCCCGATGGGAGCGAAGAAAAGAAACGGCTTTCGATCAGTGGGGTGAGAAAGATGTAACATGATTAAATCAAACCATAGGTCAACATTCTTTGGAGGGATGCATATCGCCCGCTATTGTTCGTGGCAGCGCTTTGAACTAAGATTATTTTAGCTTGAGACCTGACGGAGTTGTAGCTGTTTTGGTCAAACCCTGAAAATAACATTACGCACACTCTCATTATGTTATGAATGACTCTCAGGTACTACCACACCAAATCTTAGCTCAATTTCTGTGAAACTGACTGAGTTGGAGCCATTTTTGTGTTGGCTATTGACTCAAGTTATTCAGTTGTAGTCCAAGAGATATTTTAGTATCAGACAGTTGCAGGTAAAATCATGATCATCTGCCTTCTCCATTCAGAGGTGGAGGATAAAACTATTGACGTAAAAATGTTTTTAGTATTTGGCTGTTTGAAACTCGACACATAGAGCCCAAGTGATTCCCAACCCTGAGGAACACCATCCTGCATGTTTTAGTTGTTTCCCTGCTCCAACTCACCTGATTCAGTGATTTAATGACTTCATGTTCTGCAGAAGCCTGAAAAATCACCCATTTATTAAAATCATGTGTGTCAGAGCAGGATGGTGTTCCTCAAGGACCAGGGTTGGGAATCCCTGGCCTAAATGAATAACGTCCTCCCGTTTTTCTCTTTGACTCTTCGTCAGTGATCGAAGAAGCCAACTGGCTGACGTTGCCTGAAGATGTTCAGAAACCGGGAGACGGTTTCGATGCCGTCATCTGCCTCGGCAATTCGTTCGCACATTTACCAGACTTTAAAGGTACGTGAAGGACTGACAACAACAAAAAAAGGCTTGGATAAACCTTTCTATTTTTTTTCCAATTGACTGAAGATTGATCTGCTGACTGTTGACGTCCTCCTGTGGTTCGCAGGCGACCAGAGTGACCAGAAGTTGGCTCTTCACAACATCGCCAGCATGGTGAGGCCTGGTGGGATCCTCATCATCGACCACCGCAACTACGACTACATCCTGGAGACCGGGCTGGCGCCACAAGGCAAAAATATTTACTACAAGGTATCGTGGACTTTAAAGAGCATAAGAGCTTTTAATTTTGTGTGTTGCTGATTTGTGTAAAAATCAACTAGAACTACACAGATCTGCGCTCGGGTGGTCCTCTTCAGAGTGAAATTGCAGCTTACCAGGCCTTCCCTGTCTGTGTGTTAATTCAGCTTCTGTTTAATGTGTTTGTTTGTTTTAATTGCTTTAAAGGTGATGAGATTCTCTTTTTCGTATCAAGATTTTGTAGGCATTCTGGCACCAAAATATGTCTCGTTAGATTTGTAGATTTATCACATTTCCAAACTTTTATCTCATAAAACAACTTTTTTTTTTGTTTCTGTAAACCTTAAGGGGGACAGTTATGTTAGTTCAGACAGTCCTTGTTTACATGAACTGGTTTCGACACATATTAGCTAATTTTACACGTTTTCGTAACAGATTTTATACAAATTAGCTTATTTGCTGCTTCTTTTCCGCCCATCTTCCACTAATTTTTTGTCTGTAAATATCACAAGTTTACTACATTTCCCAAAAAAAATTCAGATATTTGATGTTTTTTCACTAATAAGTGTGTCACTTATTACAGTTTAACAACTTTTGTTGGCGTTTTTTGTTTTTAATCTAAACTTTCTGCTCCGTCTGCCTTCTTTAATTCGGCAGTATCGTTGAACACTTGATCCCCGGCAGCAGCTGAGTTTGAGACGTAAATCTCACCGGATGTTGGGAGATTTTCACTCAAAGCTATGCTGCAAAATCACAACAAAATAAATTGAGATTATAGATTATTTTGAAAAAAAAAACAACAACATAAAACCCAGAAAATATCAGTAATGGGATAAAATGTTTTTGGTAGATTAGATTAAAAATATGTGTAGATATTTATTTGTATACATTTGGGTTCATACATATTGGAAATATAAAATCTACTCAGGCACAACAGCTTTGATTTAAACCGTTTACTTTAAAAACAACTTCCATATTCTTTAATCCAGTTGGATCCATCCAGCTGGAGAGCCTAAATATAAATTTAAAGTAAACTCTGGCACGTCATGGAAAATCTACCTCTGATTCCTCTTTAATACCAGAGTCTGGTGGTTTCCTGCAGCATCAGAGCTACTTCCTGCTTTATTCAGTCTGTTTTTATAATTAAATTTAACTCAGCAGAAGGTGAAGCAGCTTCATACAGAACCGATTATACACCTACAACTTGCTTTAAAGAACACAAACGGACAATAGGTTGAATGTTGCGTTTTATTTTTAATTAAATAAGTAAAAAGCAGTTGCGTGTTTGTGTTGCAGAGCGATTTAACTCAGGACATCACCACCTCGGTGCTGTGGGTCAACAGTAAGCCTCACATGATCACACTGGACTACACCATCCAGGCACCACAGGCTGCGCTGCAGAAACTTCCTGAAGTCAGGTGGGTCCAGTTCAGTTATCAAACAGTAGAGGACGGCACTTTTAACAGGAGAGGTCGACGGACAGGAAGAGTAGGAAGTGAGACTTGAACACATTTTATTTCTAGATATGAAAACAGTTTTTTTACTAAACCTTTTGGAAAGTTTAGACAGTTTAAAAGTTGGTGTGTGATATCAGGTTTCAAGGTGAACATTCTGTGGTAAAACATCCAAACTTCTGAGTAAAAACTAGAGCCCGACCGATATGGACATTTTGGCTATTGCCGATACTGATAATGGGAGGGGGAGGCGACCACCGATAACAGAGATATAATGGCTGGAAATTTCTGAGCTTTGTCCACCCTCAAGAATCTAAGAAAAGAGCGAGTGGAACGGGGCTTGTTTATTTAGCACAACTGTTAGCAACCATGAAGCTAAGCTAATCAGACCCACGCTATAGCCTGCGTAGTTCCACAGTACGTTTACAAGTCTGGTCATAAAAACCGTCTTCCTAACATGCGTTCACATTTTCTTTCGTCCACTATTCTAAACAGTCACATATGTGAAGGCCTAATTAGTACTGACTGCAGCAGCATTTATTTTTCTTTGCAGAGAAGTAACGATAGACAAACGATGTATTTCACTGAGGACAACAAAGATAATGGTACTAATACTGGATGTCCTCACAAACTGGAAGCTCAGTCCGACAGGACTGTTGCTGTAACTACTGACTGTGAAGCTAATGTCGTGACGGCGGTGCAACTGAACACTAACGTTAGCTTGCTAACTTGAGAGTCGCATAGCTGATGACGTGCGGTTTGGAGGATTTCTTGTTGTTTATATATTTTTATGTTATAGATCAGTTAAAATAAACGCACCTTGCTCTGTTCAGGAAAATACGCTACACAGTATTGCTCCCTGCTTCAGCTCTGATGAACGTCAACAGTGAAACTTAAGGCCATGACTTGAAAGTAGTCTTCATGCGCCCTCTGCTGGATACATTGTACAATTACGGCTAGTTCACAGCATTTTAGCGGTGAGAATTAGAAGTGTTCATACCGGCGCGTAATGGGACAATTAACACCGACACCAACAGGTCCCCAAACGCCTATCAGCCTAAAAATGTCGGCCCTACCGAAATATTGATCAGGCTCTAGTAAAAACATGAAGGTGGTCTGTCACTGGCCTCCAGTGTTTTGCAACTTCCTTGTGAGGCACGGAGTCGCTTCAATTATAAACTCGTTCAAAGGATTCAAATTTTCTCTTGCAATTGTCACAAAGGCGTCCCGAACCTGAGCTGTAATTTTATTAAATTTTTAAAATTTCTCTTCTGACAGAAAACGTCCGAAGCAAATGTCTCTGGGTCTAAAAGCCACATCGACGATCATTAAAAAAATCTGGTCCAAATCAAATGCTAAGTCCAGCAGATTAAATCATTTGTGTGGCCAAGAATGCAGTTTTACAAGCCGTTTAAAATTTAGCCACACGGCTTAATGGTCACCGAGTTCAGTGCCGCTGAAAATTCATGTATTTTCTCAGTTTGGAGGTTTTTCTTTACACTAACTAGTGTAAAGCTCAGTGAGAAACCATCTTAAAGAGATCAGGATGCCAGTGCAGTCAGATAAAGTCCAACTTTAGTTTTCCTTTATAATAAAACTTGAATCTTAAAGTGACTCTGTCCTTAAACACATAATTTGATTGGCTTGTGAATTTGTTTTGTGTGAAATAAGATTCAAAATGTTATTTCTACACAGTTACCAACGTGCCTTTCAAAACTTTTTTCTCGTCTTTGAGCAAAAATGAGGTAATGTTTGTAGAAACTGAACTTTTTTGTTGAAGCAGTGGTTGATTCTGACAGCTGCTGGAAGAGTTTAAACACAAATGGATCACACTTTATCGAATCAGATCCTAACTTATTATTCATCAACGTCCCGTCAGACTTCAGTGACATTTATTTCTCAGGTCTGTTAGTTCCCTGCAGGTTTCTTCTAGTGACATTCCTGCAGTTGAAAACATTTGAATGTTTCTGTTCTCTGCAGCAAGTTTCGTCTGTCCTACTACCCCCACCGCCTGGAGAGCTTCACAGGTCTGCTGAGGGAGGCCTTCGACGGCAAAATGCAGCACAGCGTCTACGGTGATTTTAAGACGTACACTCCAGGTCAGGCTCAGGCTCCTTGCTACTTCATCCACATCTGTAAGAAAACAGCCTGAACGGACTGCTGGTAAAATAACAAGACGGGCTGCTTCCACAGGCCTCCAGGAAACAAAAACCTAGAAAAAAACCAAACAGGATATTTGATATTCTCGGTCGAATAAAGATTTGAGCTACTCATTAATGTCAGCTTTAAAGTTAGATTTCTCTCTCCGTTCTTTAAACAAGTTGAAAATCATTTACGAAGTGTTCATTTTTTCAGGATGTTGTCTTAAACGTTCTGGATCACGTTTGTCTTCTGAGCGCTGATGTTTCCGGCCCACGGACTTTAGAACATGGTGCAGTTATTGATAATGCACTATTTGCCATCAGTAATTAATTAAATATGTCAGATAATTGTGTTTTTATTTTTTTAAGTTTCCACATGGGTTTTAAAAACTGAAGTATTTAGGTGGAAGTAAACTGACTCCCACTTTGATCACCTCCATCGTTTCATAATTACTGGGGCCTGTTCATCTCTCATTCCTCAACTTTTTGCATAACCTGCTGCCAAATATACAGAATTTCTTGGTTGAACAAGCTTTGCTGCTTCGCCTCAGCCTGGTTTTCTTTTATTTCCTCAGCAGACTGACAGATTTTATAATTTATGATTCTCACCAATAATGCCCAACAGGTCACATCTGTCAACGTAAAGGAGATTTAAAAAACTGAAGCCCGCATCATTCAACATTAAAAAGTTGGGTTGAACAGACCAAAGATTGTAACATAATTACTCAAACTCAACATTTGTCTAAAATCAAAGGAAGATATTTAAACTCAGTTTAGTGATTATCCATTTGAAAAGCAGAAAAAAAGAACCGGAATGTTAAACATCTCTGCTGCACAAAAAACACTGTGTACTACCTTCGATTTGTACTTGAATATTATGGAGAAAATGATTTGCTTTGATATTAATTCCTCAGGTCAAGCAGAACAAACTTAAAGTGTAATTTCAGATAATTACAGGTTGTGGTTGAATGTGTTGCTGGACTGTATGTACGACTAAAATAAAGTCTTACTGTGTTTGACATTCTGTAAAGTTTTAGGTAGAAAACATTTCAGAACAAATATATTGCCTTAATGATTGAGATTACAGTATGAGTATTAAAGGACTTTAAATTTGTATTTGTGTTTTTGTATGTATGCAATTTTCATTAAGTGACCTTGTGAAAAAACATTAGTTTTGTTAGACTTCTAACCAAACAGACACATTTATTTAAATCCCATTGAGATCACAGATCTCTTGCAAGGGAGGCCTCGGCCTGAAGCAGCCTCTAACGTGCATGTTTTTGGTCTGTGGGAGGAAACCGAAGGATGGCTGCATGTTGGAGTAGCTCTGTTACATTAATTCTGACATATTGCTTTTGAAAACTTTAATTCCTCTCTTTCTTGATGTAAATCGCTTTTTTGGATGATTATTTCCTCTAATATCAGATGCTGCATGGCTGGAAAGATTTTTATTGAAACCTTGTTACTTTTGGGCATTTGTTATGATTTGTAATCATGACAACAAGGTAGATTTTGACAACCTGCAGCAGCGGATTAACATCTCAAAAGCTCAAATATCTCAACTACAGCCCCAAATCCCAAATGAGTTAAAAAGGTGGCAAAAATAGAAATAGGAATGCTCTCCCATTCATGTCTAATACAGGCCTCTAACTGTTCAATCGTCTTGGGCCTTCTTTGTCACACCTTCCTCTTTATGATGTGCCAAATGTTCTCTATAGGTGAAAGATCTGGACATTTTAGTACCTGGATCCTTCTCCTACGTAGCCATGATGTTGTGATTGCTGCAGAATGTAGTCTGGCATTATCGTGTTGAAAAATGCAGGGTCTTCCCTGAAAGAGACGATGTCTAGATGGGAGCATATGTTGTTCTAGAACCTGAACAGAGTTCTCTGCATTAATGGTGCCTTTCCAGACATGCAAGCTGCCCATGCCACAAGCGCTCATGCAACCCCATACCATCAGTGATGCAGGCTTCTGAACGGAACGTTGATAACAACTTGGGCTATCCTTGTCCTCTCTGGTGCAGATGAAATGGCGTCCCAGTGTTCTATAAAGAACTTCAAATTGTGACTCATCTGACCACAGAACAGTCTTCCATTTTGCCACACTCCATTTTAAATGACCCCTGGCCCAGTGCAAACGTCTGAGCTTGCGGAGCTTGCTTAGAAATGGCTTCCTCTTTGCACTGTAGAGTTTCAGCTGGCAACGGCAGATGGCACGGTGGATTGTGTTCACTGACAATGCTTTCTGGAAGTATTCCTGAGCCCATTCTGTTATTTCCTTGACAGTGGCATTCCTGTTTGAGGTGCAGTGATGTTTAAGGGCCCGGAGATCACGAGCATCCAGTAGAGTTTTACGTCCTTGACCCTTACGCACAGCGATTGTTCCAGATTCTCTGAATCTTTTGACGATTTTATGCACGGTTGATGATAACTTAAAAGTCTTTGCTATTTTACGCTGGGTAACACCATTCTGGTATTGCTGCACTATCTTTCTGCGCAACAATGGTGGAATTGGTGATCCTCTTACCATCTTGGCTTCTGAGAGACACTGACACTCTGAGAAGCTCTTTTTATACTCAATCATGTTGTCAATTGACCTAATTAGTGTTAATTGGTCTTCCAGCTGTTCCTTATACGCTCAATATCCTTTTTCCAGCCACTTATTGCTACTTGTCCCAACTTTTTGGGGATTTGTTGACACTGTGAAAATTTGAATCAACATATTTTTCCTTTAAAATGTTACATTTACTCAGATTAAACTTTTGATTTGTCATCTATGTTATATTACAAATAAAATATTGACATTTGCCATCTCCACATCATTGCATACAGTTGTTATTCACAATTTGTTTAGTGTCCCAACTTTTTTGGAATCCGGTTTTTATATATACACACACACACACAAACACACATTATATTCTTAACCATGTTAGCAGCTGGTTTTGGTTGTCAGCAGCAAACTGGTTGATCCACTCTGAGAAGGTGCTATTTAAGAGACTGAGTTGAATACAGCACCTCAGACTGAGGAAGTATTTCGGATGAGAGACGAAACGTTTCTACATTTTTTTGCTTTTTTTTTTTTTTTTTTTTTTTTGGAATGTCCAGAGGACCAGATTGAACTTTTTTGGAATTTTCTACCTGTATTATTGAGCATGCTTCAGGATATTATATACATACATACATACATACATACATACATACATTATATATACATATATGTGTATATACATATATGTGTGTATATATATATATATATATACATATGTATATATATACATATATATATACATATACGCATGTGTGTATGTATGTATGTGTGTATATATATATGTACGCATGTTTGTATGTATCTATATATGTATGTGTGTATATATATATATGTACGCATGTTTGTATGTATCTATATATGTATGTATGTATATGTATATATGTGTGTATATATATATATATGTACGCATGTTTGTATGTATCTATATATGTATGTATATGTATATATGTGTGTATATATATATGTACGCATGTTTGTATGTATCTATATATGTATGTATGTATGTGTGTATATATATATGTACGCATGTTTGTATGTATCTATATATGTACGCATGTATCTATATATGTATGTATGTATGTATATATATATATGTACGCATGTATATGTATGTATATATGTGTGTATATATATATATGTACGCATGTTTGTATGTATCTATATATGTATGTGTGTGTGTATATATGTACGCATGTTTGTATGTATGTATGTGTGTATATATATATATGCACGCATGTATTTATATATGTATGTGTGTATATATATATGTACGCATGTATTTATATATGTATGTATGTGTGTATATATATATGTACGCATGTATCTATATATGTATGTATGTATATATGTCTGTATATATATATGTACGCATGTATCTATATATGTGTGTATGTATATGTGTATGTATCTATATATGTATGCATGTATCTACATATGTACGCATGTTTGTATGTATATGTATGTATATATATGTACGCATGTATCTATATATGTATATATGTACGCATGTATCTATATATGTATGTATATATGTACGCATGTTTGTATGTATCTATATATGTGTGTACGCATGTTTGTATGTATCTATATATGTGTGTATATATATATGTACGCATGTTTGTATGTATCTATATATATGTATATATGTGTGTATATATATATAT